CTGAAACAAGAGGATTGCTTGACCCCAGGAGTTCAAGGTTGCTGTGAACTATGATGCCATTAGACTCTAGCCTGGGGCAACAGAGTGAGAATCTGTCTCAAAAATAAAATGTATAGTGAACTGTGTGCAGTGGTATTTACCTATAGTCTCAGTTATTCAGGAAGTTGTAGGAGGATTGCTGTATTAACAGTGAGAAAACATCCATAGTGTGTTTAATATAGGATTCAATTTTTCTGGATTTTTCCATAGGTGATCATAACCTGTGTCTTGTAGTTAATCTGCTTTTATTCTCTCTGCCCATGAAGCCTTTTAATGTAAAAGAGAAAGTAGCTAACACATAGTGCTTACTTTGTACCAGACACTATTTTAAGTGCTTTGTGTATGTTGACTGACCGATTCTTTTATAATAAACTTAATGAAGAAGGTATAAATGTATAAATATGTATAATTGGAGATGAGAGTTAACAGTGATCTTAAGCTGTTATAATGAAAAAGATATTCCCAATTTGGAAAAAGAAACTAATGAATTTCATGTAGTACTTACCTGGTAAAATTAAAGAAATAGAGTGACAAAAGCAAGCTGTTTTTATGTTGATGCTAGGATTTTTAGTGGTCCCGTTTTGGGGTTTTTAAATCCTAGGTTCATCATTTCCTTGGATAAATATCTCTGAATTTATACTCAAAATAGGAAAATATAATTTAATATGTAAAATTTTGAACACTACCCCCCTATTTCAATACCATATCTAATAAGACTCAATAAAGTTTATATTACTTTATCAGACAGGTTTATCTCTTGAGTGGCGCAATCTCAAGGTAAGGAAAACCACTCAGTGACAGAAGGATCAAAAATTCGAGCCCAGCCAATTATAGTCTCTGAACTCTTAATAAGAGCAGGTTCACAGGTTGATAGATACATGTAGTCATAGTGTCTCTTGACTCCAGGACAACTGGAGTTATCATTACCCACAACCTACAATAAGGGATGGCCAGGAACTTGCTTTCTCTGAATATAGTTGACTATGTTAGTGTAAGTCAAGTGTCAGCTTCCTGGGTATCCCAACATTTCTACTGTCTTTTAGAATTTAAATAGAACTTTTCATCCTAACATGCCAGAATACAGTTCTTTTGATGGGTGAGAGGGAAAGAGAGGAGGCAGGGAGCTTATATCCCATCTTTTATGACTTCTCTGTCTCTCTGTACCGACTCCCCCCAGAACCATCAACATAAGTCGTGTAGTACATCTTCACTGAAATTTTACAGTAATGACCAAGGAGAGAGGGACGTAGTCAAAGAACAAGACTGGATTTTATGCATCCTTGTTAAAGAATCTCTTAGCCATTCTCACAGGTTTCATTCTAAGTAGAAACCTACCTTCAAGTCTTACTAAAATTTCAGTTTCCTTTTTCCTTCTCTTCATCACCCCTTTCCAAAGACCTTGGAAAGTTCTAACTGTATTAGAGAAAAATAACTTATTTATTTTGTTCCTATTCCTTCTAAATAGTGCCTTAAAAGGTCTTATTGTATCCCAAGGGCTTAGCAATGTTCACCTAACCAAGCAGCAATCTCTCTACCTCTAGGAGTCAGCATAGGAAGTTAACTGGCTTTGAAATGAACAGGTTTCTCTCCCCACAGCACTAAAACAATATCATTATTGTTGTTAACAATATCATCATTATTAACAATATTGTGATGAATAAACAATCTTGGCTATAGGTTTTATTCATAACCTGTGTCTGGTGGAAAACTTTCATTCTCTGCTTTTAGTGCCTTTTAAACTTTTTTTAATTTGAAGCCCTTTGTTCCCCCAAATACCTTAAGGAGTTTAAGTATAAATGGCTAAAAGAAATCATTCAATTTGGCATATCCTTTAAGTCAGGAAACTAGCTTCTAATCCAGGCTTCAGCTAGCTAAGTACTGTTTTCCTGTGACACTGTTATCTGATGTATTTCTCTAATATTTTGTGAAAGGAGGTGGTAGATAACATTTAAAATAACATTTAAAAATAAAATCTAAATAATAACAAAAAATTTTTTTCTGAAATGCTAATGATATATCTAGGCACAGGATATATTATTAACTATTGGGAGATTAATGTGGGTAGTAGGTTTAGGATTGAGGGTGTAGCAAACTACAGCATAAACAATTAGGTTTCTTTTCTTTTTCTTTTTTTTTTTTGAGATATAGTCTCAAGCTATCACCCTGGGTAGAGTGCTATGGTATCATAGCTCACAGCAACCTCCACCTCTTGGGCTCAAGCGATCCTCTTGCCTCAGTTTTTCTATTTTTAGTAGAGATGGGGGTCCCACTTTTTGCACAGACTGGTCTCAAACCTGCGAACTCAAGCTATCCACCTGCCTTGGCCTCCCAGAGTGCTAGGTTTACAGGCATGAGCCACCAAGGGTTTCTCCTTCATCTTGCCAAGGTAATTTATTTCTAGTCATCTAGAAATGAGGGAGAAATAATCAACTATTTCTTTATGGTATTGTTTGAGACAATTGGACATTGAAAGGAAGCTCCCTAGCCTACTCTCATATTACTACCTTGAAGTAACCATTGTTGATAGTTGGGTGTATATCTTCCCAAACCTTTTCTAGGCCTTCAGAAACCACCCACACACACAGATACACTCCAGTGCTTTTCGCATAAATGAAAGAAATCATACACATTGCCATTTGCTTTTGAAATATCTGGAGAGATTTCCATTTAGTATATTGAGATCTTCATTTTTTTTTAAATAAGGACTAGTTAGAACTTTATAATTTTATGATGTTGTATATAGTAATTCCCTTATTGATAGATATTTAAGTAGTGTCCAGTTTTTCACTATTACAGTGCTATAACAACCCTCATAATTTCATTCTCTTCTTTGAGTAGTTCTATAGGATAGAATCATAAAAGAGAAATAAACAGTGGTATGTCTATGTAGGTCATTATGAAAGTTTTGAGATATATAAAAATCAGGAAACATAAAATCCGCACGGACAGAAACAAATGAAACCCTCCCTGCAACTATTATAAGCCAAGCAAGTTGAACCTTGCAGGAATGATCAGAAAGGATGCTATTGACTGTGTTTCTTGGAAGTGAAATAATGGATCATAACACAGTCTGCCTCAAAACTTTCATAGTGACCTACATATTTTAAACTTTGATAGATACTACCAAATTGCTCTTCAAAAAGATTGGTATTTTTTAAGCAAGGGAATAGTAGTATGGATACTGGATTAGAGTTTAAACCTGGAGATTATTAAGGCTATTTTTAGTAGACTTGGTGAGAAATTTCGTCTAAAGATCTGTCTAAGACAGTGGGTATAGAAAGGTGGGACAGATTTGAGAAACTTTGAGGAGTTACAATTAATGGGATTTGGTAACTGTTTGGATAGGACAGTGCCTTGGATGAAGTTCAAGTTTCTAGCTGGATAGAGGTTCTATTTACCATAATTGGAAATATAGGACGAAGAGCGAGTTTTTGCTCCTATTCCAGACTCAGTAAATGGGACCACTATTTTACCAACAGGCTCAAATTAAAAATAGCTAGCCATCCTTTCTTTTTATATCCCAAATCCAATTTTTGGCAAGTCTTGTCAGACTCAAAATGTAATCTAATTTATATAACTTTTATTATCTATTAATTTTGAAGTCTAGTAGAGCTAACAGAACTTGCTGAAAAATTAAAAGTATATTCTAAATGTGACCTTATTATTCCACCACTATCACCCTGTGCTCAGCCACGTCAACTGTCTTGGTGACTGTAGCAGCCTCCCAGCTGGTGTGTCTACTCCCACTCTTATGCCCCCGTGCTCTTACATACACAAAGGGATTTTTTAAAAATGTAGATTAGATGATTTCACTCCACTGCTTAAAACCCTTCATTGATTCGTCTTAGAACAGCATCTAAACTCTTCACTCTTTTTACTAGGTCCCATGTAGTCTGGCTCCTGGCTACCTACATCTCCTATGGATCTTGTTAACTACTCTAAATATATTGACATTGTTTCTCAAACATGCCA